ACCGTGTTTTTCTCAGATTCTGTATATTTTAACACAAACACTCTAAATCCTTAAAAATGTATAAATTCGTTACAACGATTTTATAGAAACCTATTCTGAATGATACTATTGAGTTTTGATACTCAAACACCAGTTTTCGGTTTTAATTAAAATTTTTAACTTCATTAACGGTGTATCAGATGTGAGATACAAAAAAATCAGTGTTATTTGGTTTTGATTAAGACTTTAATTGACAATTACGTTATCAATTTGTATTAATCAATAAAAACCAACTCGTCAACATTACAAAAATAAATGAACATGGATTTTATTAAGTCATAGTTGATAAAAAGTCGATTTGAACAGGACTCCCTATTTTTTGGCGGATCGAGTGAATTTAATTTAACTAACTAAAAATTGTCAGCCATTTCGTGAAAAAATGATAACATGAGTTGATGATACTATAATAGTTCTAATTATCAATTAATGTAAATTAGGTATGTAGATAAAATTATGACATTCAAAAAGTGACAGCTGATAAAATTTTAATCCGGAAATATTTGAAATTTTCTTTTGCAAAAGTGAAAACTATAATAATATTGTTTATTGACTATCGGTTTTTTTTTATGTTCGACTAAGTGAACGTTCATTTTGAGTGCTATTATTCTAGAAGTGTTGGAAGTGTTTGCCGAGGCAAATTCATTCAGCTTGGTAAGTGACTTGCTATTTAGTGTTTCCTAGCTTTATTATTGCCGATTCATTGAAATTGTTATTATTATTTATTTATATTTATAATCTGTTTCATGCTGTTTAAAAATTTTTAGTTTATCAACTTCCAGCTCCGATGTTGTACAAAATATTTCATTATTTTATTACTGTGTCCAAATAAAAAAAAAATTTTAACAATAATTAAAAAACATGAATGATAATACTTTATATTATGACTAGATCAATTGTCAGGAAATTTAATTTTGTGATACTGCTCTTATTATATTATTAAAAAAGCCAGAACAGTGGGTCGGGCATAGTGGGGTCAGGGAGGCCCAAACCAACTACTATTTGGAACAAGATTCTGCAAGCTCAGACTTTCTCTTTTAAAATACCTCGTATACATTTATAATTTTTTCCATTTGAAAACTAGTAATATTTAGCAAAAACTAATATTATAATTTTAAGTCTTTTGGCGTAATGCAAAAAAGGAGAAAAATACACTTTGACCGTAGCCAATTTCTAGGCGGTCATATTGTTTGTGTGAATCAACAGTCAACAGGTATTTGAAAATATTTGTTCAGTTATATTAACTCATATAGACCTGCGACTTCCCCGGCCCAATATTCTCTGTCCCCACTGTACTGGTTTATTATTTTCAGTTTTAATTAAGTAAAAAGATAAGTATGTTTCGTAAATTGGTTATATCGTGATAATAAAATATTTTCTTATACATTGGTTGAAAAATATTTAATATATTATCATGATTAGCTGTAAGTTTTAATAAAAAATGTACTAATATTATAGAAGTATCTTGGTAGCCGGGACTTGTTAATGCCGAATATTAGAGGGGATACGCAATGCAGTTTTATATAGTGTGTAGCTGTAAATTTAGTTGTTCGATTTGTGTGTTAGGTGTGTTTCAGGGATAATAATAATTTATATTGATTATAAATAGATAATTATGAATTTATCTTTTATCTTATGTAGACAAATTTTTAATGGGTCATCTATATTACTATCTGAGATAAACAATTATTCATCTACATACATTTTTCTAAATAATTTTTCTTTGAATACATATTACATTTTTAATATTTTTCACATAATTTGTTAAAATTTTAATAAGAAATAAGTATGGTTGAAAAATTAATTTATATATGTGTTTTCATCTTTCACAAACATAGGTTTATATATTAAAGTATATAGCTACACAGGGTAAATAGAATATACACTTATTATGATTTTCGGATTGGTTGGCAGTCACCGTTCGCCGATAATAATAATTAGAATAACAACAAATATTGGCCTCACACAACTGCGACCTGAGATGACAACTATATTAATTCTCGGAATAGATTAAAGAAATCAAGAATTTGGAACAAAGGTTACAACACTATAATGAAGTGCGTCGACAAATGTGTTAATGGCAGCGTTTAGATCAAGACCAGAGAAAGTTGATTCCCAATCAAAAAGGCAAAGATAATTAATAATTTCATTATAACGGCCTTTATGAAAATTATGAGCATTATCAAACGGTATATTAGGCGCAACTTTGTTGAATGTGATATTCAGAGCTGGATGATAAGGATCTAATGGAACAAGGGGCTCAATAGCAGATTCATATACCAAATCGCTTAAGTTAGAAAAAAACATACCTAGAATCAAGTTATGAGTTATGACTATTGGTGACATTATTCCATTAAAAGAAGCCATTAGGTGCAAAGCCTTCAGGGATAGAAATTAGAAGGAACTCGGAGTGTAGAGTTAAAACTGTATAGAAGACCTAAGTCATTATTAAACCAAAATACTTCAGGCAAATTGTAGTCACCACAAAAAATAAAAGAAGAGTTTGGATATTAAGAAACAATGGAATTAACGGAGGACATATGCGACTCATAAATTGAGGAGGCCGAAGAAGCAGGCAAGTAAATACCACATTATATTTATGTGTTGGTTAAAAGATAGATCATTCGATATAAATATACCTAGGTCTTTTATCTGTGTTACTATTGTTAATTCTGAGCTATTAATTTTATAATGAAAATTTATCTTGGATTTACGTCTTGAAAATGTTATTTGCGAACATTTTTCTGCATTAACACTTAATCCGTTTGATGTGCACCAAGAATAAAAGTTATCTAAATCTATTTGTAATTTAATGCAATCAGCAATCGAGTAAATAGGCATATAGAGTTTTAAATCATCTGCGAACATTAAAAAGTGACTATTTTTAAAGATATTATTAATGTCATCCATAAAGAGTAAAAATAAGATAGGTGATAAGTGCCCCCCATGGGGTACACCTGATGTAACTTTTATATCTGATGAGATTTATAGCCTAGCTTTACCTGTTGTGTTCTACCATACAGGTATGATTTAATCCAAGTTAGCATTTGTCCACCAATACCATTACATTCTAGTTTTTTTACTAAGATAGACATGTCCACACTATCAAATGCTTTCTTAATGTCAGTGTAAACTGCATCAACTTGAATGCTTTTACTAGCCATTGATAATACTAACCATTTATGTTGGGTTACTCCATTTGCATTCCAGAGGAATATGGTGATCAATTCCGATAAGTAATAATTAGAGAAATTCATTTTTTAAAAGCACTTTGTTTATGACTGAGGTGAGATGTGTATTCAACGGGTTGAATAATGATATTAAGTCGTTAATAAACAAAGCTAGTTGATTTGTAAGATTTGTTGTGTCTTGGTTGTTTTTGTCGTTTAATACTTAAGTGTAGATTTTTTGTGAGTGGGGTTGAGTATACTCATATTGTGAGATATGACCTAGGAATTAATTTACAATGTTTGGGTTTGTCGGAATAATTAATTTTTGCTCAGGAATTTTTTGTATACGTAATTAGTTTTTGGTTTTTTGTAAGATCCTTGTAAACTATGCATCCTTTGTAGGAGGTTGATCGGGTGCTTTTGAGCAAATTTTGGTCAGATGTGTTTTGCCACATTTATCACAGAGTGGTTGCAAATATGAGTGGTTGCAAAAATGTTTTCTATGATCAAAGTCTGGGCATCTGAGCCATTGTATAAGTGACGGTGAGGATGTGGTCCTCTTAAAACAATTGTAATTTAACTAAATAATATTATTATTTTTTTAGCTTGGTTTTAAGTCCAGAAAGAATAAGGGTAGTGGTAATTTAGCTCGACTACTTTTAGAGCGTTAAAACTAATAAGTGAAAACTCTAGTCTTATAACTTAAATCGGAGTTACAATGTATGGGTTTGTAAGAGTAGTTATTTTTTATTCGGGTATTTTTTTGGACATAGTTGATTTTTGTAATTTGTAAGGTCCTTGAAAACTTTGCATCTTCCGTATTCATTCTAATAAATAAAAATATTGTAATTAGCAATTAATAAATATATTTCAATTATCTGTTGACTGTGGTTTTAATGACATATAGCAATATAACTTTAATAGACATATAACTTTTATTAATATAAGTCATTATTGCCAAAAACATTATACGCAGTCTCACACTACATTACTTATGATAAACAAAAAATACTGTTTAATACCATATATACAATATATATATATAAATATCAATATATAATACAAAACGAACATTATTAAATGTTTTTTTTCAAATATCTTATGAAAATGCTACATTTTGAGAGTTTTAATTATTTGTAAATTATATTTTTTTTAAATATGCGTCTACGTATAACATATTAACAAACCAGCGTTAATAAGGTTATGTACTAAACATATTTGAACAGACACGATTCAAACAAAATCAACAAGTCGATAAAAATTTAGCTACCGTATTAGAATATCTATATATTTTGTACATTTATTAAGTACTATTGTACTATACTTTTTAACAACACTATAATAATAATGTAAATTATAATGTAACGAGGTATAAACTTCATGGCAATAATGTGCATTAGATCGTCTGACTAAAATACTTTATGGACAATAGTTATCTGTATACATTCTAATGGTATTTTAAATTACCTGTTACCAGACGGGAGGTGTAATGCGGAAGATTAATAGTGTGCATGCATATAAAAAAAATAACTCAATAAAATAAATTAACTAAAACAAGCTATCGACCAGTCAACAACTTCAGAAAATTATTCTTAATTCGAATTATGTAAATAAATGATACGCCTTACTATTGAAGTTCTACAATTGGTCAAAACTCTAATATTATCTCATAATATTAATATTACTTAATCGATTTTAAAAATATATATACCTATATTTTAATAAATAAATAATGTAATATGTTTTTTTAAACTTTTACATTTGAACGGCACGATATTGTTTGTTCTAATGCAGGACCAAACCCAAATTAACTGTAAATCGATTATACAAATGGATCATACGGCGCAGACTATGACCAACCAATATTCAAACAAACTTCAGACGTTCATATGCGAATTTTGCAAGAAATGTTTTTATACTAAAAAGCAAATTCTCCGTCATATGATTACCATCCACAATACTGCAACGGCTAATCGTTCAATTAAAAAACATAAGTCTGATGAAAAGCATCACAAATGTGTTGTGTGCCTGAAATCTTTTTCAGCAAAAGCCTATCTGGTAAGACACGAACGTATTCACTCTGGCGAAAATCCCTACAAATGTGCTATATGCCTGAAATCTTTTTCATCAAAATACTATCTGGTAACGCACATACGCATGCATACTGGGAAAATGCCCTACAAATGTGTTGTGTGCCTGAAATCTTTTTCGGTAAAATCCAGTCTGGTACAGCATGAACGCGTACACACTGGCGAGAAGCCGTACAAATGTGACGTGTGTCTAAAAAAATTTTCACAAAATGGAAACCTCGCAGTACACGAACGCACGCATTCTACAGAAAAGTCATATAAATGTGCTGTATGCCTGAAATATTTTTCATCAAAATGTAATCTGGTAGCACACGAACGCTTGCATACTGGCAAAAAGCCCTACAAATGTAATGTTTGCCTGAAATCTTTTTCGGTAAAATCCAGTCTGGTACAGCATGAACGCGTACACACTGGCGAGAAGCCGTACAAATGTGACGTGTGTCTAAAAAAATTTTCACAAAAAGGAAACCTCGCAGTACACGAACGCACGCATTCTACAGAAAAGTCATATAAATGTGCTGTATGCCTGAAATCTTTTTCATCAAAATACTATCTAGTAACGCACATACGCATGCATACTGGCGAAAATCCCTACAAATGTGCTGTATGCCTGAAATCTTTTTCATCAAAATCCTATCTGGTAATGCACATACGCATGCATACTGGGAAAATGCCCTACAAATGTGCTGTGTGCCTGAAAACGTTTTCAGTAAAATGTAATCTGGTAGTACACGAACGCCTACATACTGGCGAAAAGCCCTACAAATGTGCTGTGTGCCTGAAAACGTTTTCAGTAAAGTGTAATCTGGTAATACACGAACGCACGCATACTGGAGAAGGGCCCTACAAATGTTCAGTGTGCTTCAAATCTTTTACGGTAAAATACCATTTGGTAGAGCATGAACGAATTCATAATGGCGAAAAGTCCTACGCTTGTGACGTATGTTTCAAGCGTTTTACTAGAAAATACAACCTTAAAGTACACAAACGCACGCATGCCACAGAAAAGTCATACAAGTGTGTCAAGTGTCTGAAACCTATTGCGATGAAATCCTACCTCGCTAAAAAACATAAACATGTATATTCCGGTAATAATCCTTGCGAATGCGAGATTTGTTTCAAGTGTTTTGCTCAAAAATGAAACCGGGATCGACAAGAACGTGACCATGTTAGAGAACAGTCAGATCTTAATCATCAGTCTTTACTTACATTTTAAATCTAAGATTTTTTTTGTCTTTTTGTTATTCATTACTTTATACTTGTTGTAAAAAAAAAACATCTATTACATATATTATATTACTTTAAATTGTACTATTTTCTGCATTTCTAGATTTTTAAGATAGATTTATTTAATGAATATGTCTACGTGATTTTTTTTTGTTTAGTAATATTGTATTACATATTCGAAATTTATAATATAAACAATAGCACTGACCCGTGCACTTCAATGCCTGTAATAAAACATTTTTAGTGTTAATTTTATACTATAAGGTACGGCTAAAAAAAAAATAATAATATTTTTACAATTTTAAATTGCAAACTCTTTGGAATACGATTCTGCAAGCTTAGACTTTCTCTTTTAAAATACTTCATGATAAATAGTTTATAATTTTGACCATTTGAAAACTAGTATTATTGAGCAAAAATTAATATTATAATTTTAAGTCTTTTGGCAAAATGCAAAAAAGGAGAAATACACTTTGACCGTAGTCAAATTTTATGCGGTCATATTGTGTGAGTGAATTAACAGTCAACAGGTATTTGAAAATATTTGTTCAGTTGTATTAACTCAAATAGTCCTGTGACCATCCCGTCCCAATATTGTCTACCTAACCAACCTGACCTACAGCTAGTAGGTATTATTAAAAATTCTACTAATATTGTAGAAGTATAGAGGAGATAAGTAATGCAGCACCAGCCTGCGCTGTGTGGTCTGGATGGTCAGTTTTGTATAGTGTTTAGGCGTACATTTTGAAGTTTGATTTGTGTTTTTCAGTGATATGGCCAATGTATATTTTTTTTTCGTTAAGTAAATTATGTAATTAATATTTATGTTGAGTAACTCCCTTTGCACTCCATTGGAATATGGAGGTCAATTCAGATAAGATATAATTAGAGAAATTCATTTGTTAAAAGCACTTTGTTTATGACTGAGGTGAGAAGTGTATTCAACGGGTTGAATAATGATATAAAGTCGTTAATAAACAAAGATAGTTGATTTGTAAGATTTGTTGTGTCTTGGTTGTATTTGTTGTTTGATAATTTAGCGTAGATTTTTTGTGAGTGGGGTTAAGCATATTTATTTTTGTGAGATGTGACCTTGGGATTTATTAATAATGTTGGGGTTTGTCGAATTCATTATTTGCTGTTTGCCGTTTTTTTGTAAAATCCTTTTTAACTGTGCTTCCTCTATAGCCGGAGAAGTGCTGTCCTTGGCAAAGAGTATATTTGGAGGGTTCATAGAGTGCTTTTGATTAAATTTGATTTGCCACATTCAACACAGCGCGGTTGGTGGTTGCAAAAATGTTTTGTAAGACCAAAATCTTGGCAACTGAGGCATTGTGTAAAGACATACAAGGTGGGTTTGTTTTTTTGAATCTGATGAATCACTATTTTTTCCGAAATATTTTTCGGATAGTTGTTGCTTGTTGGTTTACTCGCACTACGGTCGTCGTGTAATTTCCCCCCACCACTTGTTTTGAACAACGTAGCTTAGATGTTTGTTAAAACAAAATATTAAAACGTACAAAAAACATCTAAATATTTTACTTTAAAACGTATACAACTTTTAAACTAAACGATAAGCCAATATGAAAAAGACCGAAATTTGTTTTATGATTCAAACCTAGAATTGAAAAAAGATAAGACGGTTGAGTCGGAATACAATGGAAACGGAAAGTTTACAGGTCTTCAAGAGTTACTATAACTGAAAGTGATAAAATCACTTTCAAATTATCGTTTAAATGTGAATCTGCGGACACTGCACCTCACGGCTCACATTAATACTTTTATACTGTGCTTTATTTGGGCTTTACTGGTTTGTACTTACAATCGGCCGATTCTATACAGGGTGATCCAACTAACGTAAGACTATGAATATTTATAATATGAATATTTTGAAAATTATTTTTTCCCTATTATTTATGGTATAAGTCTTACTATATTTTTTCACAGATTAAAAATATCCACAAAAAGGTTCTAGAGATAGAACATTCTGCTAGCAACATATTAAGACGTACGGTGTTTAGAACCTTTTGACGTATATTTATACAATTGATAAAACCTTTTGACTACAAATTTAAAAATAACCAGTACAGTGGGGTCGGGGCATTGTGGGGACGGAGCATAGTTGGGTCGGGGCATAGTGGTGACGGGGAGGTCACAGGTTTACAGGAATTTTTAAATCTGAAAGTGATAAAATCACTTTCGAAAAAACGCTTCGATGCAAATCGGTAGTTAGTATTTTCAAGCCAGTACAGTCCAAACCAAGCAAAGTATAAACCAGCAAAGTTAGAAAGTTTTAAATGAAGGTTCTGTATTTACAAATGAGCATCAAAGCGGCGTTTATTTGAAAGTGATTTTATCACTTTCAGATTTAAAAATTCCTGTAAGCCTGTGACCTCCCCGTCCCCACTATGCCCCGACCCCACTGTACTGGTTTTTTTTTTTTTGCAAAAACTTAGTGGACCAAATAACACATATACAATGTCTTGTTATATTTTGTTGGAATGGTCGACGATTCATGTTTCAATCGTTTACACTCCATAGTTTAAATTATAATCGCTTATTCTCAATAAAATTAATGTTTATACTATATACTTATATACTATATATAATATATATTATATACTTCCATTAAAGCAATCTCACACAAACTATTTATATTTCATAGATTATATTATTTCAAAGCTATATTATACTTCTATTTTACTAGATTGACAATGTACAAAATAAAATGCAACTAAAAAACCCTTTTCATAGATCCTTAAAATGTAAAGGGTGGGATAGTGAAACGGGTAGGTTCCCTAAACGGGTCCCATTTAAATACATTAGAAAATCGCCGTTTTACTCCCCCATCCTGTATATTATTCTTGTTATTTTCTAAAGAAAAATTGATTTTCTTACATTTAAATTGAAATAAATCGTATACTGGTACTGTGATGGAGAAAACAATACATTTTACCTACATATATTACTTATTAGTTAAATATTACTAACGTGTATAACCACTAGCGGTCGGCTGTTACCTGTTATTTATCAATAACCTTTTATGGAGATTTTAATAATAGTATAGGAGCAGTATCATGATGTTAAATGTTCACGGGATTTGATCTAGTCATAAAATAAAGTATTATCATTTATGACTTAATTATTATTACAATTTATCTTAATTTGTACATAGTAATAAAATAATGAAATATTTTATACAAAATTAGAGCTACAAGTTGATAAACTAAAAAATTAAAATTAGCACGAAGCAGATTATCTAATAATAGACAATTTAAACAATCAAGCGTGAATCTCTTTAAATGAATAACAGTATAAAAATATGCAAAACATTAGTTTTCCTTTAAAAAAATTGTGTAATAAAAAATACATTTTGAGGCGGTATACTGCATAAAAACCAACACTTAATCTGAATCCAAAAAACAACAGTCCTCTTCATAATTTGCAGGTAGTTGGACCTTATATACTCATAGTTGACCTTCGGTAAGGTTATAAAACGAAAGCTATAAAATAACGAGATAACGACAGTGGTTTTGTCGTATCAGAATCATTAAATGTCTTAATAAGTACACGGAAAGGTTTTTTTCCCAATAAATTGAGTGTCTACTATAATCAGTTACACGATTTAGTCGTTTGTGATATCATGTAAAAAACACAATATTATGATACCGACCATTGGGCCCTAACCTAATCTAACACGGATAGACGTTACCAACTGATCGTTTTTAGTGTCTGTTCGTTTCTCCCATCTGGTACACCAGGTTTTTATTTGATACTTGAGCACAAAACTTAATAGTATCATTCTGCATGGATAAATATAAAATTGTTTTAATGATTTGATCAATTTTTTTTAAAGATTTTAGGTGTTTTTGTTAAAAATACGAAATTTGCGAAAACACAGTTTCCCGGCAATTAAAAAAAACTGTAGTGCCGAATTTTTCACCCGCTTAATATGTTATGGATACATATGAGTTCCAACTACTGGCAAATTTTCAACCCAAAAGTTTTAAAGTTACGGCTAAAAACCTCGAAAAACAAAAAAACTTGTACCCCCCTTAGGGGGGCGGGAAATGGGTATATTTTGAATTTGACAAAACTGACGTGCGCGGGCATACCAAATAAATATTTCTTATACATTTCAACTCGATCCGACTCTTTTTCTCGATACTATAGCCAGTAAAAGTTCTAACTTAAAAACTCGTACGGTTTTTTTTTTGTTTTTTCAACTTTCGCCTGTGAAGGCTTAAACTTTTTCAACTTTTACCCCCCCCCAAAGTACAAACTAGACAAAATTTGTGATTTATAGAGTTGCTATTCGAAGGAATAGTATTAAAAAAGTTACAGTGTATACAGCGAAAAAAAAAGCCCACATCAGAGTAAAACCAATACCTTCTCGCTTTGCATCGAAGCTAAAAACGTTAATCTAGCAATTTCAACTCGACATCGGATCGCTCTTGAGTTATCTCCGTTACTGTAAAACCATGTTTCAAGATACTTTTATGAATACACTATTTGTATAATGGCATTGTTTAATATTCATTTGAATTCATTATTGCGAGTGCCTGTTTGGTCTTTGGTTATTAACATGAATTTAGTTTTCTTAACATTCATCTCAAGTCCATATTTGTCACATGCAATGTAGAGCCTTTCTATGCTTCTTTGCAGATGCGCCGTGATTCCCGCCAGAACGACGGTGTAATCGGCATATCTTAGGCTGTTAACGAATTTCCCATTTACTTTAACGCCAATATGTTCGTGGAGGATCGCTTCTTCAAAAATTGGTTCACTGTAAATTTTGAATAATAGGGGAGACAAAACACAACCTTGTCTAACTCCTTTTTTTTTTTTATTTCGTCTGAGAACTCATCGTCCACATTACTTTTGGCGGTTTGATTCCAATAGAGATTTGAAATTATTTTTATATCACGGCTGTCAATATTTTTATCCTTTAATATTTTTATTAATTTGTCATGCTGTACGTTATCGAATGCTTTGGTAAAATCTATAAAACAAGCAAAAATATTTCCTTTGGCATCTAAGCACCTTTGCATAAGGTTATTTATACCGAATAATGCTACTCTGGTCCCTATTCCTCGTTTAAATCCAAATTGCGTCGTACTTATGTCATTCTCTAATATTTAGCATATATTCTTCGATGTATCCTTGATGTATGATCTTTAAAAATAATTTCAAGGTATGGCTCATTAGAGCTATTGTTCGATAATTCGTCTTCGATAACATTCTTTAAGGTTATTTTTCTTGGGAAATGTAATAAACGTTGATGTCAACCATTCTTCCGGAATATTTCATGATGCATAAATTGTATTGAATAAATCAACTAATATTTCTATGCCATCATCCTCAAGCAGTTTTAAAAATTCGGAAGGTACTTCATCAGGGCCTGCTGCGTTCCTTGGTTTGGCACTCTTCAATATATTTGTTACTTCTTCAATGCATTAATTCCTAATAAACCATTTTTCAACAAATTGACAGTACCTTTAGATTCAAACCACGCGATATGTATACATATTACATACATTGTACGTAGCATAGTTTATTTTAATTACTAATTTTAAGATACAACAAACAAAAATATTATAGGCCACGGGATAACTTCTACAGCTAATTCATTACTGCAAAAAATATTATACGCAGTTTCATCCTACATTATTCATGGTAAACAAAATACTCTATTAAACCACTTATACAAATATCTCAAAACACAAAATGAAAATCACTAAATGAGTTTTTCTAGAACAAGACGCTTATGAAAATTCTACATTTTTTAAGTTTTTGCTTCGATGTAAATTATTTTTTTAATCTTGGATTTTTTTAATAATGCAACTACTCAAACATTAATAATGTTATGTATTGATCTTATTTTAACTGACACAATTAAAACAAGAAAGACACCACGATAAAAATTTAGCTACCGTATTAGAAAATTTCTATATTTTGTACATTTATTAAGTACTATTGTACTATACTTTTTAACAACACTATAATAATAATGTAAATTATAATGTAATGAGGTATAAACTTCATGGCAATAATGTTCATTAAATCGTCTAACTAAAATACTTTATGGACAATAGTTATCTGTATACATTCTAATAGTATTTTAAATTACCTGTTACCAGACGGGAGGTATAATGCGGTAGATTAATAGTGTGCATGCATATGAAAATAATAACTCAATAAAATTAATTAACTAAAACAAGCTATCGACCAGTCAACAACTTCAGAAAATTATTCTTAATTCGAATTATGTAAATAAATGATACACCTTACTATTGAAGTTCTACAATTGGTCAAAACTCTAATATTATCTCGTAATATTATTATTAATATTACTTTATCGATTTTAAAAATATATATAACTATATTTTAATAAATAAATAATGTAATATGTTTTTTTAAACTATTATATTTGAACGGTACGATATTGTTTGTTTTAGAGCAGGACCTAACCCAAATTAACTGTAAATCGATTATACAAATGGATCATACGGCGCAGACTATGACCAACCAATATTCAAACAAAACTTCAGACGTTCATATGCGAATTTTGCAAGAAATATTTTTATACTAAAAAGCAAATTCTCCGTCATATGATTACCATCCACAATACTGCAACGGCTAATCGTTCAATTAAAAAACATAAGTCTGATGAAAAGCATCACAAATGTGTTGTGTGCCTGAAATCTTTTTCAGCAAAAGCCTATCTGGTAAGACACGAACGTATTCACTCTGGCGAAAATCCCTACAAATGTGCTATATGCCTGAAATCTTTTTCATCAAAATCCTATCTGGTAACGCACATACGCATGCATACTGGGAAAATGCCCTACAAATGTGTTGTGTGCCTGAAATCTTTTTCGGTAAAATCCAAACTGGCCATACACGAACGCACGCATACTGGCGAGAAGCCATACAAATGTGCTGTGTGCCTGAAATCTTTTTCGGTAAAATCCAGTCTGGTACAGCATGAACGCGTACACACTGGCGAGAAGCCGTACAAATGTAACGTGTGTCTAAAAAAATTTTCGCAAAATGGAAACCTTGCAGTACACGAACGCACGCATTCTACAGAAAAGTCATATAAATGTGCTGTATGCCTGAAATCTTTTTCATCAAAATACTATCTGGTAACGCACATACGCATGCATACTGGGAAAATGCCCTACAAATGTGTTGTGTGCCTGAAATCTTTTTCAGCAAAAGCCTATCTGGTAAGACACGAACGTATTCACTCTGGCGAAAATCCCTACAAATGTGCTATATGCCTGAAATCTTTTTCATCAAAATCCTATCTGGTAACGCACATACGCATGCATACTGGGAAAATGCCCTACAAATGTGTTGTGTGCCTGAAATCTTTTTCGGTAAAATCCAAACTGGCCATACACGAACGCACGCATACTGGCGAGAAGCCATACAAATGTGCTGTGTGCCTGAAATCTTTTTCGGTAAAATCCAGTCTGGTACAGCATGAACGCGTACACACTGGCGAGAAGCCGTACAAATGTGACGTGTGTCTAAAAAAATTTTCGCAAAATGGAAACCTTGCAGTACACGAACGCACGCATTCTACAGAAAAGTCATATAAATGTGCTGTATGCCTGAAATCTTTTTCATCAAAATACTATCTGGTAACGCACATACGCATGCATACTGGGAAAATGCCCTACAAATGTGTTGTGTGCCTGAAATCTTTTTCAGCAAAAGCCTATCTGGTAAGACACGAACGTATTCACTCTGGCGAAAATCCCTACAAATGTGCTATATGCCTGAAATCTTTTTCATCAAAATCCTATCTGGTAACGCACATACGCATGCATACTGGGAAAATGCCCTACAAATGTGTTGTGTGCCTGAAATCTTTTTCGGTAAAATCCAAACTGGCCATACACGAACGCACGCATACTGGCGAGAAGCCATACAAATGTGCTGTGTGCCTGAAATCGTTTTCATTAAAATGTAATCTGGTAGCACACGAACGCTTGCATACTGGCAAAAAGCCCTACAAATGTAGTGTTTGCCTGAAATCTTTTTCGGTAAAATCCAGTCTGGTACTGCATGAACGCGTACACACTGGCGAGAAGCCATACAAATGTGACGTGTGTCTAAAAAAATTTTCACAAAAAGGAAACCTCGCAGTACACGAACGCACGCATTCTACAGAAAAGTCATATAAATGTGCTGTATGCCTGGAATCTTTTTCATCAAAATACTATCTAGTAACGCACATACACATGCATACTGGCGAAAATCCTTACAAATGTGCTGTATGCCTGAAATCTTTTTCATCAAAATCCTATCTGGTAATGCACATACGCATGCATACTGGAAAAATGCCCTACAAATGTGCTGTGTGCCTGAAATCGTTTTCAGTAAAATGTAATCTGGTAGTACACGAACGCCTACATACTGGCGAAAAGCCCTACAAATGTAGTGTTTGCCTGAAATCTTTTTCGATCAAATCCTATCTAGTAAGACACGAAAGCACGCATACTGGCGAAAGACCCTACAAATGTGTTGTGTGCCTGAAATCTTTTTCGATAAAATCCAAACTGGCCATACACGAACGCACGCATACTGGCGAGAAGCCATACAAGTGTGACGTGTGTCTAAAGTATTTTAGCCAAAAATCTCACCTTACTGTACACAAACGTGTCCATATTTCTGAAGAGTGTAACGAGTGCATAAAATCCCCAAAAGACCACCTGGCTGGACACAAATGTGTACACACTGAAAAAAGGACATACAAATGTGACGTGTGTCTCAAGGGTTTTACACAAAGTTTTTCCCTTACCCTTCACAGACGTATCCATATAGGAGAAGAATGTAAGAAGTGTTTAAAATATTTCACTCGAAAAGACTACCTGGCTGGACACAAATGTGTACGTACCGAAAAAAAGCCATACAAATGTGACGTGTGTCTAAAGGATTTTACACGAAAACTAGACCTTGCAGTACACAAAACGGTGCATACTGGAGATAAGCCCTACAAATGTGTTGTATGCTTGAAATCTTTTTGGGAAAAACGTGATCTAGTAAGACACGAACGCACGCACACCGGCGAGAAGCCATACAAATGTGACGTGTGCCTGAAATCTTTTTCATCAAAATCCTATCTGGTAACGCACATACGCATGCATACTGGGAAAATGCCCTACAAATGTTTAGTGTGCCTGAAATCTTTTTCGGTAAAATCCCATCTGGTAATACACGAACGCATACATACTGACGAAAAACCGTACAAATGTGTTGTGTGCCAGAAATCTTTTTCGATAAAATGTAATCTGGCAGCACACGAACGCCTGCATACTGGCGAAAAGCCCTATAAATGTGTGGTTTGCCTGAAAACTTTTACCCGAAAATACACTTTGGTATCACACGCTCGCATTCATAGTGGCGAAAAACCCTACAAATGTGACGTGTGTCCAAAGGATTTTACACAAAAATATTGCCTCACAGTACATAAACAAGTGCATACTGGAGAAAAACGCTACAATTGTGACGTATGTTTCAAGCGTTTTACTAATACATACAATCTTACGGTACACAAACGCACGCATGCCACAGAAAAGTCATACAAGTGTGTCATGTGTCTGAAACCTATTGCGGTGAAATCCTACCTCGCTAAAAAACATAAACATGTATATTCTGGTAATAATCCTTGCGAATGCGAGGTTTGTTTCAAGTGTTTTGCTCAAAAATGTAACACAGCTCAACAAAAACCTAACCATGTTGGAGATTAGTCTAATCTTTATCAGTCATCCGTCTTTACCTACAATCTAAATGTAAGATTATTTTGTCTATGTGTTATGCATTACTTTATACTTGTTGTAACAAAAAATGAACCATTTTATAGACATTTAGTTAAAATATATTTTAGACATTTAATACTTTGTGTTGTACATTTTTCTGAATTTCTACATTTTATCGAACAATGTTTTATTTTTAAGTTTGGTTCGTTTAATGCATATATCTACATGGTTTTGTTTTATTTACCCAATATTGTATCAAATGATTAAAATATATAGTATAACTGATACTATACTGATTTAGGCTCATTTATACTTAATCGTCCAATTTTTGTCATATTTCTATATTTTGTTTGTTACGTTGTTATAAATATGTTTTTCCTTATTGATACTGTTTATAATTTATAATTATTAATCTGTGGTCTACTTACTTGAATGTTACACGCTTGCCTTCGGGGCGTTAAATATATATTATAAACACTAGTACTGACTCGTGCACTTCATTAATATTAGTTTTTATTTTATATTATTAGATACGGCTAAATAAAAAATAGTGATATTCTAAATTGCAAACTTATTGGAACAAGATTTTGCAAGCTTGGACTTTGATGCTTTAGATACGAGTTATACCGTGATAATAAAATATTTTTGTACACATTGGTTGAAACATAGCCAATATATTATCATTTTTAGCCGTAGATATTAATGAAAGTTGCTTATATTTATGTGTAACGTAATATTATTAAAAATTATGCTCACAGAACTGGTTGCTTGAAAAACATTTAGCTTCTTTTTTTATTGAAGTGATATTTACAATCTATACAATATGTATATTATAATAAGTAAATGAGTTGATAAATGAGCGAATTGCCGTCAAATGCAAAAACTGTTGTTGCGTCCGCGAAAACGACCAGTTGTATTTGCTGTTTTGGGGGATGTCGGTTGTGAACACTTTGTATAGATCTGGAGATAAATCGCTTCCTTAGGGACCTCTTATTATATGGTCACTATATTTTATACTTGAATACTTCTAACTATACTTTCTAACAACACTATTATAAGCGTAGTATAAAAAATAAATAGCATTAAATAATAATGTAATGACATAAAAACGTAATGACAATAATTTGCTTTAGACCGACTGACTATAATAATTTATTTACAAAGTTATCTGTATATATTCTAATTAAAAATATATTTTCTATAACCTGTTGACCATTGTATTACTCACATTTTTTTTTTTTTTTAATTGCCTAAGGGCATTTTTATTTAAACGATAAAAAAATCTTTATAAATATAAATCAAAAGAGTATCAATACATACATACGATTACTCACATATAGCAATTCAATAATTACCACTGTTCAATACGTCAATGACCCTTTTTTTTTGGTTTTTCCTTAAATCAAAAAAAAATTGACTAAGTATTTTTTTTTTACACTATAGGACAATATTTGAAGTTGTATTTATTTCCAGTTATATCAACTAAAGTTTACAATTTAAGACGAGAGGTGTAGTGCGGTAGAGTAATAGTGGGAATATTTATTTATTTATTTATATACATTTATACGCCTCGAGGGCAAGACTATAGAACATTATAAAAAACAGTGATAATTGATACAACATACATATAGAACTATAGAAAAGCAAACAACAATAATGATAGTAACAATTATTGTCACAAAACTAAAAACAATATCTTCCGGAAAAAAAGAAGATGTAATGTATTTATAGTAATTTATAATAATTACGACAAGTAAGAGGGGTCAGAATTACCTAATGACATAGTGGTTCATTTAAATGATAATTAGGGGAAGACGAAGAAAGAAAAAAAGGAACTTTGTAGCGAGTAGAACGGGGAGGAACTTTGGAGAAAATTTTGGAAAGCAAATAAGGCAAGTCAATTTGTCCATGCAGTAGTTTGACTAAAAAACCAAGATTGTTCGCACGTCTACGATTACGGTGGTTATATATCCAAATCAAGGACACTCAATCTTTAAAGATATAACTTAAATACTTTAAAAATAAAATGTTTGTCGATCTCGCTCAAGCATTATACAGTTTTCCGCCGTATGAGGGTCTCAAAAAAACCAAACCATATTCTAAAATTGATCTAACCAGTGAACAATACAGAGCTCTCAAAGATGATAATAATTTGAACTCGGAGGGTACACGTTAAATAATTTGAATTCCTATTAAAATAATATCTCAATCAAATTAATTATCCGAAACTGGCTATCGGTCAGACAACATTTTCAGCAAATTGTTCTTGATTCATATTAAGTAAATAAATGATACACCTTACTATTAAAGTACTAAAAGTGGTCAGAGCTCTGGAAAATACTATCTTAAATTAGTTATTCTAAGTTTTGTATATAATAATATTACTAAATCGGTTTTAAAATATATGTATACCTACATTTTAATAAACAAAATCAGGGGACAAATATACGGTAGTATATATTTTTTAACTTTTTAATTTAAAATGAACAAGAAAACGAATATACAAATAGATCAAATGGCACAATATATAACCAACCAAAATCCAAACAAAACTTCAGACGTTCCTATGCGATTTGTGTAAGAAATGTTTTTTTACCAAAAATCCAATTCTCCGTCATATGATTACAGACAAATATGTATTCTTCTAAGAAGTATTTTTTCAAACAATTTTCCTAATGCTGGTTGCAAACTTATTGGACGGTATGATATTAGTAGGTGTTTTAGTTTATTCGGCTTAGGAATGATGGTTGCGAATTTCCAGATTATTGGAAAATATGATAATCTTAATATCGCATTATAGATGTAGGTCAGTAGAACTATGGTTTTTTGTGATAATTGTTATAACATTTGATTCTCATCTGGATGCTTTTTCAGGAGGGAGTTCTTTTTATTTATTATTCCATTACACCTGGTGAAGTACATTTGGTAGTAGAGCAATTGATAACGCATCAGTTAGAAAGGATTGATTTCGACAAACTTCTAATAAATTGAAATATATGTGTACATATATATATATATATAAATAGCTGGAACAGAAAACTACCCTGTATCTACCCTCAATTATCTCTAGAGACTATTTGTAAATTTATATAACCGCCCAAAGAGCAAAAAGGGCTGGTCGTACCTCTAAATGAATTAACTAAACTCTCAAATTGCAACGTACAAAATTATTTATTAAAAAGGCTTAACGCCATAATAGTTGATTTGTAAGATGTGTTGTGTCTTGGTTGTTTCATACTTTGGCGTAGATTATTTATGAGTGGGTTTGAGGATACTATTGATGTGTAGTGTGACCTTGGGATTTATTGACAATGTTTGGGTTTGTCGGAGTACTATTTTTTTTTTTTTAGGAATTTTCTTAGACATAGTTGATTTTTGTTTTTTTGTAAGATCCTTGTAAACTTTGCATCCGCTATAGCTGAAGGATTGGAGACCCAGTGTCGATTGAAATTATTGTTAATTATTGTAATAAGTAAACGAATTAATAATAATAACATGAAAGTACATAGTTTGAATGGAATTTTTTAAATGTTGTAAAATTGGGCCTTTGTTCTTATCAAAACTTTTAAAATTGATAAATTTTATATTTGTTTAATAAAAAAAAAAACAATTGTTCTGTGTACAAAATGTAACATTTTTATAATATTCTATTAACATGTTTTTTAAAAAAAAAAAAAAGAAGTGGAAAACCCAATTGGACCCTTAGTGTCTGAATTTTGAACACAGCCAATGGTGTACTGACATTATTATGTCTTTTTATTGGTTTGCATATTGCACTCTGGCTGGCTGCAGGCCAGACGACACGGCTCACCCCTCGGCCCTCATTAGTATTGCATCGTGCACTTTACAAAGCCACCCCGTCAGACCTGCCGGGCGGATTATTGATTAATGTGTATTGTGTCAGCCAGACGGCCGGTAAGTCCTACCCACCGGTCCCGGCGAACCGTGCAGAATCCACCGCCGTGTTGTACATTGTACAGGTTAGTGTAGTGCAGTTGAAGTTTGCACCACTACAGTGTAATCGTTCTCTCGTTTCGTTGTCGTAGCACAAGAGCGTTGTGGAAAAAAAATCCCCAAACAAAACAAACACCGGTCGGCAGTTTCCAGGTAATTTTTAGACATAATACGCAACCTACTAAGTAGCATTAGATTGCCAAATTGTAGATCATAATATAACTGATCAATCAGCTTCGATGCGTATCTGAAAACGTATTAGTATTACAATGATGTTCTTATTATTTATTTATTTTTTTTTTTTTATCTATCCACGATGTCTTCCAAGCCGCTCGATCGATTTTATAGTGTAACAAATCTATAGACCAGAAATCGTACATGAAATATATTATTATTGGCCCGAAAATTTCACCTAAAGTCGACCTCTTCCACTGAAAAAGCCCAAACAATTTACTTGTTTTTCAACATGATACGGCGGTGCCCTAAAACTTTTTTAAAAACAGACAAATTAATTCAAAATTTGTATGAAATACTCTTTAGATAATGTACTACCGATAAACCGACCAATAAAAAATACCAAAAAATATTTTCCCTAAAAAGGATGGAAACTGTTTCTTTAGTTCGGTTTTTCAAGTAAATTTTTAGAGCTTAAGGTCTTAGGGCCGTATCCATTGTCTGTTCTTAAATCTCTTCTTAAGTCTTACTTTCAAAAGCAATGCTTATGAATAAGTATTCATAAATAAGTTTAAGTTATACTTTTTAAAGTTATAAGTAAAAGTAATTCTCTTTTCATTTAAAGTCTGCGGAAATTGTATAAAACTAGTTAATTTAGACGCTAAAAGTCTGGATGTTTTTCACGCATCTACTGACAGTTGGCTGACTGATACCTACTAAACCTCCAGAAACAATCTATACAGGGTGATTCATTAAGGATAAGACACTAATTTTCTCGGAGTATATTAATATTTTGATCAATATTTTTTTCCAAAATTTTTTGGTACACATTGTACTATATTTTTCAATATTTTGAAAATTTTTACCACCAATCCTTGAAGGCCAAAAAGGGGGATTTTAGTTTTTTTTTAAATGGCAACATATGTTTTTAATTACATAAATTTGTAGACAAAATATAAAAAATAAATTTTAGCGTTTGAATTTTCATTTATTTAATTATTAGCTATGAATTTGTTAAGATACTACATTTTCTCTTAATAATTATCATGTTTCTTCGGTTTTCCAAAACCGGTAGCCCATAAAGTTCATACTTATGTTCACATTGTCTATTGGCGATAACACTTTAACAAAAAAAAGTCACTGGTATAAAATACTGAAATAATGATAGACAAACGATACTTATCTACAGATTACCTAGTCCAACACAGGTACACAGGTTGGTTTTACGAATCCACTTTATCAAATTATTTTTATGCGTGTAATCAAACTATTCGTCTTTGTAGTAACGATTGAAAATATTAAGGAATACAGTCAAAAAATCAAATCTTTATAAAGTCATAAGAAATGAACAAATAAATGAAAATTCAAACGTTAAAATTATTTTTTTTATTTTTTGTCTACAAACGTATGTAATTAAACACATATGTTGCCATTAAAAAAAAACTAAAATCCCCCTTTTATGGCCTTCAAGGATTGGTGATAAAAAATTTTCAAAATATTGAAAAATATAGTACAATGTAAACCAAAAAATCTTGGAAAAAAATAATAATATATTCCGAGAAAACGAGTGTCTTATCCTTAATGAATCACCCTGTATACTTGTTGAAACAAAAAAAAAAATCTTTTAGACATTTAATACTTTGTGTTGTACATATGTCATTTTTTGTTGAATAGAATTAGTAATAGTCCGACTGACTAAAAACTGACTTCACCATCGCCATCATTGTGAAAAAACACACATTTTAAAGAAAAATAACTAGATTAGTTCCATATCGCGTTATAACAACAAAAAAAATGTTAATATTGTTAGGCGAATTTCAGAATTATGATAAAATTAAATATTGGAGATAGACTAAATGAAGCAAATTTTAAAAGTTAGAACAAAAGGCAGCATGTAGCTGGTAAAATTAGGTAAAAAGAGTCGGATCGAGTAAAATTTATAAGGAAAATTTATTTGATAGGCCCTCACACGTCAATAGTCTCAAACTTAAATTATACCCATTTTCCATCTATCTAGGGGGGGGGAGGTGCAAGTTTTTTTGGGGTTTTTAGTCGTATTTTTTAGGATTTACAAGTTGAAAATTAACCAGTAGTTAGAACTCATATGTATCTATAACATATTAAACAAAGAAAAAATTCGGCACTACAGTTTTCTTTAATTGCCGGAAACTGTGTTTTACGCAGATATTGTATATTTTAACATAAACACCTTAAATCTTAAAAAATATTTATCAAATAAGTTTCAACACTTTTATGGACATCTATTCAGAATTATACTATTGAGTTTTGATACCCAAATACCAGCTTTAGGTTATAATTTAAATTTTTAACTTCATTAACGGTGTACCAGATGTGAGAAACTAAAAAATCAGTGTTATTTGGTTTTGTTTATGACGATTCCATTATCAATTTTTATTAATCAATAAAAACCAATTTGTCGTTATTTAATTATTACATAATTAAATGAATATGTATTTAATTAAGTCACAGTTGATAAAAAGTCGATTTGAACAGGACTCGTTTTTTTTGGCGGATTGGATGAATTTAATTTAATTATCTAAAAATTGCCAGCCATTTCGTGAGAAATTATAACATATAAGTTGATGATACTATAATAGTTATAATTATCATCTAATGTAAATTAGGTATGTAGATAAAATTATGACATTCAAAAAGTGATAGCTGATAAAAGTTTAATCCGGAAATATTTGAATTTTTTTTTTGCAAAAGTGAAATCTACATTGATATTGTTTATTGATTATCGGGTTTTTCTTGTTATGTTCGACTAAGTGAACGTTTATTTCAAGTGCTATTGTTTTAGAAGCGTTGGAAGTGTTTGCCGAGGCAAATTCGTTCAGCTTGGTAAGTGACTTGCTATTTAGTATTTACTAGCTTCAGTATTGCTGATTCAATGAAATTGTTAATATTATTTATTTACATTTATCCTTATGGCGCCTTATGACAGAACAAAGTGGGTGCTAGAAATATCTCTCATGTTTTATGTTTTGTAAGCAAGTTATGGGTTATAGAAGTAAAAAACCTTTTTTTTTTCAAAGACTACTAAATGTTTGTTAAGATTATGTTTGTATATTACATACAGGGTCCGGTTTCACTGTCGGACCATGTACTTGAAGTTAAACTTTACATACATATTAAACGTTAACTTATATGTGTTAGTCATGTGTCTGTGTTATGGAGTGTAATTGTTGACAGCTCACTATCAATTAGCCATAACCTTAGAAAAAAGAAATTGTAAGTACAAATTATAAAACTAAAAGCAAAACAAATTTATGAAATTATGAGATTATTTAATATAATGTTAACTAAATATTTCAATCAAAATAGCAAAACACTAATGCCTAAGCATATTGTTATACTGTTATTCATTTAAACACACGCTTTATTGTATGAATTATCCAATATTAGATAATCTGCTTCATGCTATTTAAAAAAATTTAGTTTTTCTATCGACTTCCAGCTCTGGTATTGTACAAAATATTTCATTATTTTATTACTATGTCCAAATAAAGATATATTTTAACAATAATCAAAAAACATGAATGATAATACTTTGTATTATGTCTAGATCAACTGTCGGGAAATTTAACTTTGTGATACTGCTCTTATACTATTATTAAAAAAGCCAATACATTGGGGTCAGCCCATAGTGGGGACGGAGAGATCCAAACCAAGCACAGTATAAATCAGCATATTAAGAAAGAATTAAAGTGAGAGAATTGCAGTGTTTAAAAATCGTTCATCAAAGCGTTTATTTGAGAGTGATTTTATATTAGGGTGACTTTTTTAATAATAATTCCTGTAGTCCTTTGATCTCTCCGTCCCCTCTATGCTTTGATAACAATATGCCTCGCCCCTACAGTATTAGTCTTCTCGGATAAAACCACTTTCAAAATAATGCTTTGATGCTAACCTGTAAACGCTGCACCTCACTTTAATTCTTTCTTTTATTAAAAAATAATAATCAACACGTCGATAAAAAATATTTAGCTCTCGTATTAGAATACCTCTTTATTTTATACTTAAGTACATTTATATTATAATTTTTATCAACACTATAATAAGCGGAGTATAAAAAAAATATCATTTATTAATAATGTATTGAGGTAAAAACGTAATGACAATACTGTGCTTTAGATCGTCTGACTATAATGATGTATTGACATAGTTATACATTCTATACCGTTATACACTATACGTTATGTATATATTCAATGTTTACAATGTAAATAATTATCAAAAGTCTGTTATAATAATTATATTAAACGTCTACAGCAGAATTTGTCAAGTAATCCAAAAGGGTTTTGGAAGTTTGTTAAGGACCGTAAACAAATAAAAGCATTACCCAAAACATTTAATGATAAATTTTCTAAAAATCCTGTCATAATTACTGAATTATTTAAATCATTTTTTGAATCAGTGTATACGCCCGTAGTAACCGTTAATCAATCTTTCTCCAATTTATCAACAAGTAATAATATTATTGATTTCTCTACGTGTACTTTATCTATTGCTGAGGTATTTGATGGATTGTCCATGCTAAAAATTGATTGTACAACTGGACCTGATTTAATACCATCTATTATTTTAGCTTCGATGCAAAGCGAGAAGGTATTGGTTTTACTCTGATGTGGGCTTTTTTTTTCGCTGTATACACTGTAACTTTTTTAATACTGGACCAATTCCTTCGAGTAGCAACTCTATAAATCACAAATTTTATCTAGTTGGTAATTTGGGGGGGTAAAAGTTGAAAAAGTTTAATTCTTCACAGACGAAAGTTGAAAAAACAAAAAAAAAAACCGTACGAGTTTTTAAGTTAGAACTTTTACTGGCTATAATTTCAAGAAAAAAAGTCGGACCGAGTTGAAATGTATAAGAAATAATTATTTGGTATGCCCGCATACGTCAGTTGTGTCAAACTTAAACTATACCTATTTCCCACCCCCCTACGGGGGTTACAA